AATGCCGGTGGGGAGTCTCATCAAAGCCATGATGAAAACTTTAGTTTCTGAAACTCACGTTGACATGAATGTGACCGAGAATAATGAATCAACTCTTCATGTTTATCATGAACGATGGGGTCACCAAGATAAAAAGCATGTAAAGGCCATTCTTGAGAAAGAGTTGAATATAAAGATTATGAATGTCTGATATGAAATTATGTGAAACCTATGTAACCTATGTAGATGGAAAAGACCACTGTTTAAAGTTTGGAAAGAGAAAAGAGGTTACAAAAGCTGGAGAATTGTTCTCAACAAATATTTGTTGGTCACTTGATGAATCATTTAAGAAACATCGATACTTCAGAATCTTCAAAGATGCCTACACCAAATTTCGATACTGTTTTTTTTTTTTTTTTTTTTTTTCTGAAGGCAAAAATCAAGTAAAGGATGTGCTTGAAAATTTCATAGCTCATGCAAAGAACATAAAGTTAAAGAAATCAGCAGTGACAATGGTTGAGAGTTTGACAACCAAGCAGTTCGAAAGATTTTGAACAAGCGTGGAATCTCACAGCTCCATATACACCAGAGCAAAATAGCAGTGCTAAATGAGAGAACAGAACAGTTCCCAAAATGGCCAGAACTGTCTAATATTCAAATGGAGAAGTGGACTCAGCTTTCCTATGGGCAGAGTTCATCAGCACTTCAGTTTATGCAGTGATTAGAATGGGCAAGTCTTCAGTTCCTAATTCAAGTCCTTATGAATTATGGATGAGAAAGACACCTAGAATAAAACATATGTACATTATTGGATCAGCCTGCTATGCTTATATTCCAGTTCAGAAGAGAGGGAAGATGGGCAAAAAGGCTATCTGCATTTACTTCAAGGAAACAAGCACAAGAATCTGTTCCTGAGATCTCATATTTGAAGAGAAACTTTCTATGACAGGAAATAATTTAACATTGCCCCTCAATAATGTTTACGAAAGAAACCTGTCTCAAGGTGATGTTGGAAATAAAGAACAGACGAAGTCTCCAAACAGGAAGCAGAGGCTATACCAGAAAAGAAGACTCAACCCAGAAGACAAATTTCGGCACCTAAGTGGACAAAGGATTATGTGATGGAAAACTGAGAGATTTATGAAGAAAATCCTTCAGAAATAAATGGAATTGCAAGTGGCATGCAGTGCAGTTGACAGTTTAAGAAACAGGAATGTGAAGACTCAACACGAGAAAATTTTCAGAAGAATTTCAAAACTTTGGAAGAGGCATTAACTAATCCAGATGGAGAATGGAAGTTAGCTAAGGGAAGAGTTAGAAAGTTTAAAAGAAAATAAAATTTTTAACATAGTATCTAGGCCAAAAGAAAGGAAATTTGTGAAATGAAAGTAGGTCTTCAAGAGGAAACGTAATAAAGAGGACAGGTGGAATGACACAAAGCTCACATAATTACTTATGGCTACACCCACATCGAAAGAACTGACTACAAGGAGACATTTTCTTCTGAAATAAAAACAAAGCCAATCAGAACTTTATTAGCATTCTTAGTTGAGCAAGACTGGCAGGTTCATCAGTTGGATATTAGTGCAGACAATTTTCATGGAACAGCCACCAGTGAGTCTGCACAGGAAACCTTATGGAGAAGTTGTTTGTTAAAAAGAAGTCTTTATGAACTTTATCAGTCTGGGAGATAGTGGAATATCTGCTTGGATAAATTTCTGAGGTCATCTAACCTAACAAAATCCAAAGCAGGCCCTTGCATTTATTTCAGTAAGGAAAAGAAGTTAATCATAGGTGTTTATGTGGATAACCTCTTTATTATGTCCAGCAGAGTCTCCATCATTCAGGAATTTCAGCCACATTTAAAACCAGAGACTTGGGGGAAATGCATCACCTTTTTTTCAATTAGGATAAGAAGGGAAGAAGATGGCTCAATAACTCTCAACCAAAGTATCTATGCTATTGAGTTCTTGGAAACAACTGATAAGCTAGATGAAGGAGCATCAACATCATTAAACTCAGGTATGAAATATACATTAGCCAATAGGGATAATATATTGGATGCTGAATGAGCACTAAAATATAGGCTGGCTGTTGGAGGACTTTTGTACCTGGCAAGAGGAACAAGGTCTGATTCAGTCTTTGCTACCACTTACATGAGCCAATTCAATGATTGTCTAAGCAAATAACATTGGACTGTCATACAGCATATTCTTCATTACTTAAAACAGACCAAAGAATTAAAACCGATTTTCCAAAAAACTGGAAAGGATTTGGAAGTGTTTGGAGACTCTGATTGGGCTGGTGATAAGATCGATTGACAGTCATTTAGTGGTTATGTTGTATTGATAGCACGTGGGGCTGTCTCATGGAGAAGTAAGAAGCAACAGACGAAAGCCTTGTCAACAGTTGAAGATGAGTATTTCTCAATGTGTTACGCAGACAAGGAAGTACAAAACTTTCCACAACGTTTTGCAAGAAATTGTGGGAGAACATTTTTTTAACTTTCCATAAAACATATTTGCTAATAATCAGGGTGCCATTTCTTTAGTTAAAAACCATGTTACTTCAGAGTGTAATAAACATATTGAACTCGGGCATTCTTTCTTCAGAAAGAAGTTGTTGAACTTTACTTATTTGCCATCCAATTCAAATGCAGCAGACATGTTGACTAAGAGTATGCAGCAGACATGTTGACTATGCAAAGGAAAGCCTTGTATAACCAAAGGTCCAGAGTAAGACTGAGGGAAATTTACTCAAGGGGAGTATTAGTGACACAGAAATAAAATATATTGCAAATTTGTAATTATATTAATGCAGGATTCTATACATCATTTAAAAGTCATCAAATAAAAGTATGACCTCAAGATGTCCACCTGAAAGGGGCCTCAAAAATTGTCAAACATTGCATAAATTATTTCACCAAATGCCATCAAATTTGAATAGAAGAAAATTCATTATATGAGAAAGTTGACTTGGCACCTGTGTATTCCATAAAAAATGAGAAAGTATGTCAACGGACAAGTTATACAAGTTGTTGTTTTTGTCACTTGTTTCCCAGATAAGCAAAATATGTCACATGACATGTCTGCCTACTTCTGCTTGTGATGATGTATCACTATTTCATTGAAGAGTGCTTGTTTCTCACTAAGGCATGTAAGCCACTTTTTGGAATAATTAGGAAGTTGACAAAAACCATCTAAACCAGAGGTTCTCAACTTTGTCTTTTGCACCCTTTCACTATAGATAGCAGATCAATTCCCCCCTCCTTTCCAAAACTCAAAAAATAAATACGTAGGTAAGTTGAAAAATAAGTTTCCCCTGTTGACTGTGGTCAGAGTTGTGTATGAAAGTCAAAAAATAGAATGAGACATTAAAGATATGACATACCTTTATTTTATTATTCTCGTATGAGTACGTTGAGACATTTGTCATATCGCTTGATAAGCTTAAAAAAGTCCTCCAAGAAAAATTCACGCTTCGCATATGGAAGAAGCGTTTAACGGTTTGCATATGGAATGCTTTGCATATGGAAGAAGCGTAGAAAAAGCGGCCTGGCCTTCTCACATCTGGCGTTCTGCTGTTGGATGACAATGCCAGACCACATTCGTAGACAGCAACGCAAAACCATATTGCAACTCTTGATTGGGAGCGCCTACACCATCCGCCATACAGTCCTGATTTCGCACCAAGCGATTTCCATCTGTTTCCGGCTTTGAAGAAAAATCTCGGGGAAAGGCGCTTTGGAAGCAATACTGAAATGAAACAAGCCGTTCAACGCTTCTTCCATATGCAAAGCCCTGATTTTTTCCTGGAGAGCTTTTTGAAGCTTATCAAGCGATATGACAAATGTCTCAATGTACTTGGTACCTATGTGGAAAAATAAAGGTATGTCATATCTTTAATGTCTCATTCTATTTTTTGACTTTCATACACAACTCTGACCAAAGTCGACAAGGAAAACTTATTTTTCAACTTACCCTCGTATACACATTTATCTCGATTTAAATGATTTTTAATGTGTTTTATGAATTAAATAAAAAACTTTGAAAAGTGTTTATATAAATCAAAAATTGAATAAAAAGTTTTTTTTTTTTTTTAAATATCCATAATCTTAAATACTTAACAGCTAAATGACAGGTTGACTGCATTTTCCCTGGTTGAGAACCCTGGTCTAAATACTGCATGCAAAATTTAGTGAGGAAGCTGGCAACCAGTGGAACAGACTAACACTGTTCCACTGGTCGCCAGCTCTCAGTTCAAAAGTGAATGATGTAAAAAACTGACTGCTCTCCTCTCCCACTAATCTTCTTTGATGTTCATCTCAGGAAAATGGAATGTGACGAAGCACATGCAAAAGCGCTCAAAAGAAATCCCGTATCTCTGCCTGTTTACAGTTTTTTACGAGCTTAGAAACTGTCTGTGATAATTGCATTTTGCTGAATCAGAAAATTATTGCTGAAAGGCATGGAATATTGGAATACACATGGTTCAGAGATGAGCTGTGACTTCACCTACTGGCATTATAAACTCCAAAAACACACATTTATGGGATAGTGAAAACCCACTTTTACTGTATGAGGACATGCAACTCTCTTCATTACAAAAGGTGGGCAGAACATCTGTTGTGAAGTGCAGGCAGTGGCACCCAGGGTTTTGTCAGCCACATTCACAAACTTGCAGTGTCATGTTGAGCTGAGTTTATAAGTTAGAGGAAATAATTTTTAGAGCCTCCTTTGATTTATTTTCATTTCTCATTCATGTAGGTATGCCATGTTCAAATTTTGTTTATCTTTTTTACACAATCATTTATGTGGCCTCTTTTAAGTGGAACACCAGTTATATTTTTGTATATTTCTGTTTTGATACACTAACAATTATCAGATTAACTTTATAGAAACAAATTCTAAAATCATTTCAGAAAAAAATTTTGTATAAATATTTATTCAAGATATGTTCAGTGATTTTTTTCTATCTACAGTTTTTTAAAAATTTAAATATACATCTGTAGATGCATTTAAAAGTATTTATTCACACACTGATCATTAAATTATAAAAATTACATTTTATACAATATCTATATATATTTACATTTTTGTTCTTTATGTCTGCAAATAGCGACATTAAAATTTGCAAATTATAGCAGTTGTAATTTTTCAGATAACTCTTTTCTTAATGTTTGATATAATTTCAGAATTTTCATTGTGAATTGAGCAGGCTCCACATCATTACCATATATGCTTGTGATTATTTTTGATAATTCCTAAAAATTTAAAAAGAAAAAAAAATATTAACAGTTACATTGAATTGTTATATTCCCCCAGATAAATAGCAAACAATTATGAATATAATTCAATAAATAACTGTAGGAAAAACACTAATAAACATTACTATAATCACCACTAAAATTTATCAAGTTATATCTTAACTACAATTTATTTACATAAATTAAAAGGAAAGTGAAAAGAATAGTCATCACATCATTTTCATATGTCTGCTTTTGTAATCATTAACATCTCATCTTCGCGCTCCTCAAGATGACACTTTACCATTATCTAACTCAGTTACAGTCACAACTGTATGGCCATTTCCTACATCATCATCTGCCCTCAGATGACAACAGCAAATAGTGAAATTTAACATATAAAATATTAAAAATGAAAACATTAAATTAATACATATAAATGAACATAATACTGAGCAGGATCTTCTAATAACAACACCAAGAAAATTTTTTTAAAAATGATGGTAATCATTATGAAAGAAAAGATTGATCAAAATTAAGCTCAAATGTGTAGATCAATTCATACGAGAAAATGTCCATAAAACACTGAAGTTTAGGTGATATGTTCTGATGAAGTCCAAGATTTCATAAATTTAGTGCAAGTGCTAGTTTTTCATAGGTCAATCGAAGAAACCACTTTTACATCATAAGTGTCATTTGGCTTGATTTTCATAATCTTATATGGTATGAGAAACTTCAGTTTCAGTTTAAGACCAGGTCCATATTGTGTATGCTTGGCTGCTACTACATCATGAAGCTGAAACTTATGAGATGGTTTGCATCATAGATTGTAGGTTTAGTGATTTTCAGCCTTTGCACTTTCAAAAGCTGCTGTTTAGCTACCTTGTGAAAATCATCATGAGTGATGATAAAATCTAACTGGATCTCGGATCTAACTGGATGTTCATGTAAATATACAAATATTTACATGAATCTATTTTGATTTAGAAAACTGTATTAGCCAAGTATATGATTAATTATAAAAATTAACATTCTTAAAAGGAGTAAAAGTATTTGATAATAATGGTTTTGGTTTCTATTTACGTATCTGGCATTATTTAAAGTATTTGTCAGTTATTAGTCTTTTCAGTGATATAATATTCAGTGTCGAATATTTTTCTACTTCACCTAAACTGCTAAATGTAGAAGTCCTTGAGCTTTTCTAATATTCAAAAAGGCTATGTGGCTTGGAATTCATTTTTATTTCTGCCACTGATTCTTCTTCATCAGCTGTAACTGCACCTGTTTTCTGAGTATTTATGTGCTTATCAATGTTAAAATAATATCAGAAAGAAACTTCAGAAATATCTTTTTACTACAAATCTTCCCAAGATTGTTATTTCTATTTATTGTAGAAATATGGGCTTTTAGTATAAATTTATCTTCATTACTCTTCAAAATGCCTTTTTTAAAGCTTGCTTATCTCTAAAAAAATTTGAAATTTGTCTGTGAAAATCATTTTATAGAGATCCTAATATATTAAATACTCATCAGACATCAATACTTTTCTTTTTTCATAGTAATTCAAACTTCTGTACATCACTTTCAAGTTCTTTAAAATGTTGCTAGTCAAGCACCTTAAAATGTGTTATTTGAATAAACTACATAATTGTCTATGTAGACGATTATACAGTTCTTTGTATAGTCTAGTAAAGAATGCATTATCACCTTTAACCCCTTTGTGCTGGGTAGCGCAAATGGGCGCTTATCGCGGAGGCCGGCCTTACGCGAGCCTCTGTCCAGGGCTGGGGGCTTTTTTGCTACTAAGCCTAAATCCATGAAATTTCGAAAGTATCAACGCATTGTTTAATAATGCTCTATAGAGTATTTAAACGGCTTATGCTTTATAGATATTTTTATACTATATACTTTAATTACCTTATTTCTTGTTTAAATGCATATTTTACACATTTTATTTTCATTACTCACCATTTTATGACTTTTACCATTATACATCTGAAAACTAAATATATTACTTAAAATTCTCTTTTCGTATGAAAAATTTTGAAAACAGGGACCTACACACAGTCCTACGTTACATTCCTTGCACTCGTAATAACTCATTTGCCGTTTTGGAGGATTTTTCTGGGAATGTGAACAAATGAAGCATCGTCGCCTCATTTTCTTATCAGTCTCTTCTGAACAAAGTTTTAGAAAATGTCTTTCAGTTAATCTTTCAGAATCAATATCAGAATATCAGAATCAATATCTGAAATATTTTGCATCATTTCTGCTATTTCATGCTCTGTTAAACATTTTCGATGCTTCAACATTGCAAAGGTAAAAACAGAAAGAATTCACGTCTAACAAGATCTAATTATTTTCTAAAAACTGAACTGCAAACCGAAATACCCAACACTTTAGCGAAATAAAACTTCTCTACTTACAATAAACAACTACCACATGCGAATAAAGTGCAATTTAAAGAGACGTCATAAATCACGCCATTTGGAAACATTTATTTCCCTTTTTGTTTATATAATCAAAAACACGTGTATGTGAGTCATGCTTCTCTCATTTTGAGTAGAAGGTTTAATGTACATGTATCTGAAACAATATGGACATACAGTGCCATCTTGTGGCAGAAATGATAGTTTTAAAAACGTTCCAGGAGACTGGCACAAATATGTGACAGTCGGCGCTCAGCGGGAAAACGCTCTGGCACGCCTGCATGTCGGCCGGGAGGTGAGTGTGTTCGCTGCTGGCACGTAGACGTGACAGTCGGTGCGAAAGGGTTAAGAAAGCAGATGAGTTGGGGTGAAAAATTATTTGTTAATGAAAATGAGTCACAGTAATGTTACCGTTTCCAATAATGTATCTATAACCATCATAGTGCAGCTGTAGGAAGATCCTACAATTGTTACAGAGTTGTTATAAGAACAATTTCACTATTTACCTTCAGAATAACTTCGTGTAAGGTTTTGTAGCTAGGAGGCTGGCAGAAGCTTGGGTCCATTGCGACGTCCTCCACCAACTCTTTGGTGTTTTGATTGCAAGTTTACTTTGATATCATAGCCATCAAGCTTGGAATGCATTGGATTGGAATTGTATCTTGTTTAGAGATGAATAATGATATTTATATGGGCTCAGATGACCAGAGAATTCATGTATGAAAGAGGTCTGGCAATCAGAGTACCCATTCATATTCTCTGTCTCAATGGCCACGTTCTGTTCTGGTTCTCCAAAAACTAAGTGCATACCTAATTAAGATACAATAACACGCCGAAAAAAAAATTAATTTAGAAGTCAAATAACAAAAATCAGCGTTATATTTTCAAATTTTCACAGGACTAGTTTCGATGGTTTTACCAAACCATCATCCTCAGCTGCAAAAGCGCAAATGAACAAAGTAAGATATAATAATAAGATAAGATAGGAAAGCCTGGTCAGGAGATAAGCTACTGGCGCCATCTGTTGATGAAACCAGAACTAAAATATAATTTCTTTAAAGGCTGAAGGCAAAGATGAATTGGATTATTCTCTTATCAATAAAGTTCCGAGTTCCATAGCCAAGGACTCCATTCTGGATATGAATTCCTGGGATATTTACAGGATTCCTTGCCAGTGTGGTTTAATTTACATTGGCCAACTAAGAGAGCCTGAAAATTTCATGTTAAGGAACATAACATACTTGGTCCGAAAATCACATTTTCAATTTTTCTGCTGCCAAAATTATTTAAAAAAAAATCTTCCATTGATGATCTGGATTTTCTAGAGGCTTTTCACATTCAAAAAAAACTTTCTGTTCTAGTTAACGACCCTAATTCCAATCCATCTTTGCCTTCAGCCTTTAAAGAAATTATGTTTTAGTTCTGTTTTCATCAACAGATGGTTCCAGTAGCTTATCTCCTGTCCAGGCTTTCTTATGTTTTATCTTATCATTATATCTTACTTCATTCATTTGCACTTTTTCAGCTGAGGATGATGGTTTGTAAGACCATCGAAACTAGTCCTGTGAAAATTTGAAAATATAATGCTGATTTTTGTTGTTTGACTTCTAAATTAATAACTGCAGACCTGCCTTACATAGCCATTATTTAGAATACAGAGAAAGATTGAGGTGACTGTAAAACAACTGTAATGTGTAAGGGTTTCTCATTATTCTAACATGGATGATTTTAAGGATTAGTACTTTTTCATTCAAAACTTGCTGAGATTCTGGACACACACACAAAAGAAACAAAAAAAAAAAGTCCTTCCCCCCCCCTTGAAAAGGTTTCACTTACGTCCAAAGGGACTTTTTTTAACGTTTTGTGTGTTACCTTTATGTATTAAATATCATGTTCTTTGCACTTAAAGCATAAAATTCAGTTCAGTAGCAATGTCACAAAATAATTTTTAAATGAGCATATCTTTAGAATTTCCAATACACAGTTCAGTGCCCGCTGGATATAAAAAGATTTTTTCCCCCCTCCATAGAGTGTTGCCATTGCTCGCTTTTAAATCGTTGAGTTTGTTACTCAAAAATTCGTTTACAAAATATCAAACCAATAATAAAACAAATTCTAAATTTCAAATTTGGTCTTCCACATGCCACATTCATAGGAGGATTACGTCATTCAAAATTCGATGGCTCTATGTACCGTTGTTTTATCACAATGAGAGAAATATACATACATTTATGCATATTTTTCATTATTTAATTTCTTCAAATATGTGGTGGCAACAGTTTGAAAAGTGAACCGGACATTTATAGTGATTCAAAGCAAAATCACAAAATGAAAACAATAGTCCTTCAGGGACAAAGCCTCTTTGGACTAAAAAAGTGTTCCAGTGGAAGATATCCATAAAATCCACTATATCCGATTCCATACATTTGGAAGTACATTCATGACAGCCATATAAAATAATGTATGTGTAAAGGAAATTGGGCAGGATAAAAAATTTCATACATATATATATATCCTATTAATGCAATGACAGACCCAAAGGGGTGACAGTGAGCATCAAGAGGAAGAACAATCATCACAAGACATGCTAATGCAAACTACATTTAGTTGGTGAAAATCATGACAAAACTTATGCAAGGGTTGATATCAAGTGAGGGGAAAAGTCCATAAAAATTTTATTTATTTCAAGAGTCTAGGATGCAGAGTGCAACAATAGAAATTATTAAAGGTGCTGTTAGAAATAGTGGCCACAACTATGAAGAAATGACTGTCACGAGCAACTCAGAAATACTTAGTGTTCTCTCTATGTCTACCACAGCAACCACACTTTGTACTGCATGATTTTGCAGTGTCTCCACAAGCATCTCATAAATGATTTATAGTGCCCCAAAAGAAGTAGCCCAAGTGCTTGAAGGTCGGTGAGCATGAGGCAAGCAACGGCTGTGCTGAGTTCAATCCACCTCCTCGAATATGTAGCATGGAGGTTTCTACACATTGCAGCAAAAAAATGTCTGAGGTATAATAATGCATGAATTGCATAGTCCTTCACACTGTGGATGGCACAACCTACAGCAAATCCAGGAGGATGTGCATCAGGACACCAAGGTAAATTGCGTAATTTTTTTAGGTGTTTAGGCAGAAAATATTCTCAATGGATAATTATTAAGGATTTCTGTCCAGCTGTTGTCTGTGAACTTATATTAAGCTTTCCAAGAGACAATGGTATAGCAATTTTCTGTTGACCACATGTGTGCATTATGTGTGTTGAAAATGCAAAGCTGGCATCCTAAGAGAATGAAACAGATACAGAAATTTGTAGATTATTCCTGATGGCATCAAGCATCCAATAAACAAACTCTTTCTGATGGGAATAGTCATCTACGGCTAGGAACTGTATATTCTGTACATGGAAGGCATGCATTTTTTAGTATGCAGAAACTTACATAATGCTGTGTGTGGAACATCGAATTCAGCTGCAATTGCTCATGTACTTAGAGAAAAGGAATTAGGAAACTGTTGCAGTATACATTCTTCTCATTCAGGCATGTGTACATTGCAGGATCGCTCTACATTACATCTCACTGCCTTTCGTAATCATTGAATGATTTCAATGAAGGTCACAAACAATGTCTCCTCAGATGCTGCTCTTGGTGCATTTGTTAAGTGTCTACTGCCACCTTCTTGGCCATAAATCAAATGCATATCAGCATCTTCTTCATTTGCTTAGTCAGTTACGTCACTCCTGAATGAATTATTCCATATGACTACATTTCATTGCTTGCAGCCCATACCTATTCTTGCTCCCAGTGGATATATTTCAAAATGCTACTTATGTCAGACATACTGAGCCAATTTGCCAACAAAATCAGTGATTGATCTACTGTTGCCTTCTTTTTCCTCTTGAAATGAAATTATGTTTTATTTTCATGATTTTTTACTGATTAAACTTGAATTGTAATAGCATGCATTATGACAATTGTTATTCCTGTATGAGGTATCTGTGGCATAAAATGGTCTTGTTGATGTTTTAATTACTGATAAAAATAATATTAGAAATATGTAATACATCTTTTATTGTAACTTTGCTTCACGAAACAACAGATGTGACACATAAAAGCTAATTATTTATTTTACAAATTTATATCAGTATTAAAAGAAACGGCCAAGAATTGTAGTTTTTGCACGTTTTGATATGAATGCAGATTGATCTGCCATTGGGTTATTTCAGCATATAAAATAATTACGAAAAGCTTGGACTGTTTGAAAAAACTAATTATAGTGGCTGTTGATGTCACATCTGTAAGGATTGGATGTGTTTCACCTTCAGATTTCAGTGAGAAATGATTATCCTATAGCAACTTTTTCTCACTGTTATAGTAGTACACCAAATTTAGTTTTGTTCAAATCTACTAAATACATAAAGAATGCAAGAGTTTTCTTACATTATCTGGATTATCAACTTTTTTTCCCTCTTCTCTTCACTTTGCTGTTTGAAAAGATGCTTTAAAAAACTTGATGCAAAGGAAGCTTCCAGAAGTGGCACTAACAAGATGGAATTTTTATTCAGGACTTTTGAAAACTGTTAAACATTATCAAGAACATCACACAAAATATTTTTGTCAGATGAAAATAAGACTGATAACTGGACAAGTAAAATAGTGACTACTGCTTCTGCTTTTACTAAAATTCTAAGATGAAAACAAAAAAGTTCTTGTTATTATTTTCTTTTTCAAGAGAGGAGGATATATTTGAGGTTTTGAATGCTCTCTTTGATAACATTGCAGCTCAAAAGTCTACGTATTTTCTATTGTACAGAAAAGACAATGAATAATATAAAATTCTTGAAGAGTAGAAATGAATATTTCAATGAAATGTGGACAGAAGCATTTCTATATTCACAGATGGATCTAAAACAGAAACTACAGGTTCTGGTATATGCATATATAGAGATAATTTACCAATTTATTAATGAAGAAGAAAACTACATAAAAACAATTCAATCTTCCAAGCTGAATTAATTAGCAATAAAAAAAGCAATAAACTTATCCAGTTCATTTAATAACCAAGTTAATATGTACACAGATGCTTTACCCAGCCTTGAAACTAAAAGTGGTATTTATTGCAGAAATCCAACAATCTATGAAATTCAAAAACTTTTAATCAACATGTCAATAGTACTGAGATCAATGCTAAATTGGGTTCCAGCCCATATAGATATATCAGGTAATGAACTAGCAGATTCTTTTGCTAAACAAGCAGCAATAGGAATAAATCTACCAGAATTTACAATACTCTTTCCAAAATCATATCCTAAATGTATCACATTTAAAGATCTATTTTTGCAATGGCAATCAAGATGGACTAATACTAAAACAGGACAAATAACTTAAGAATTTGTACCAAATGTTTCAACTAAATTGATATCATCATCCTTTACAATTGCAACATTTTAAAGCAGACGTGGTCCATTTCTAACATATTTTAATAGACTCAAACTCAAAGATACCGGCATTTGTAATTGTGGTAAAACAGGAAGTCCTGATATTTTAATAGACTCAAACTCAAAGATACTGGCATTTGTAATTGTGGTAAAACAGGAAGTCCTGACTACTATGTTTTTGAATGTGAATATACAAAACAGCATCACTTAAACCTTCAAATCGATATTGGAAAGAATGGACCCAACACCTATTAAAACATTCTGCTTTATATAACAAACTTTAAAAAACAATAGATTACTAGTCTATCAATTATAAAAAATAATTTCAAAGCTATTTCATCAGCTAATTTCTTTTTGTTGAATGCCTTCTTTATATTAAATATTAGAATCTGCGATATACTTTATATTATTTTGTATAAATCAAAATTAATTAATTTCACAACCATATATAGAACAGACTATAATATTTGGACCAAGATCTAAATTGAAACTGATTTGTACTATATCAATCAACTGAGACCCTCTGTAATTATGATCATCTGAAACACTGAACTTTATTTACAGAATTATTTAATCTTCCACCAAATAACTTAATACTGAACTTTATTGAACTTTAGATCTATTGAACTTCTACTGAATCCTGAACTTCTGAACTTTGAATTATTGAAATTTTACTGGACTCTTGAACTATTAAATTTCATACTATGTATATTGCATATATCAAAATCAGCTCAATGTAGCATGTAAATGCAAAGAAAGCTCTAAGTAACATTTACTGGCATGTAAACATGATTGTAAAAACTTTCTCTAATATTTCTTAATAAATAAATTCCACTGGGCGAGCTTTTTCCATTAGGTATCACCTTAGGTCGAAAGCCCTCTCCAGTGGTGCAAAGTGCAAAAGTGTTTGAACTGTGAGCTGCCACTCCATGACATCACACCTGCTCTATCGGGTTAAGATTCGGCATGTTAGGTGGCCAAGACATTAACTTATGTCTTTATGTTCCTTGTACCACTAAAACACTATTCAAGTTTTGTGATATGGGGCGTTGTTACACACTGCCGTAAGGGGCAGGGAGGAACTGTTTGCCTGGAAGACGGCATACAGTGACACTACCATTGATGTGATGAATGAGAAATCATGATTCATCTGACCAGGCAACTGTCTTCCACTTATCTATAGTCCAGTCTCGATGTTCCCGGGTTCACTATAGGCACAGTTGATAATTTTGCTTGGTCAGCAGAGGCACACGAGTGGGACATCTGCTGCACAGTCCCATATCCAACAGTGTCTGCTGAACTGTGTGTTCTGAAACACTTGCACTTGGACTTGCATTATACTGGGATGTCAGCTGAGCCACTGTCTGGTGCCGATTTTGCTGCACCAAGAAGTACAATCTCTAGCGTCTTTTTTGTTAAGATGACGCATGGAATTCCAACACCTTGGTGTTTACTGCTGCTTTCACTGTCATTTATCCATTTTGCATAAATACTAACAATGGCAGCTCATGCACAACCTACCAGTGATGCAGTTTTGGAGATACTCATTCTGAATCTTCGAGCCATTACAATCTGCTCGCTATCAAAGTCACTTAGATTAGACATTTACTTAGATTAGAAATTATTACATTTGATGGGGAAGACATGAAATATAATGGTATGTTTGGTAGCTTACTTGTCTTTTTTTTTCCTTTCTATCAAATAATTTTTCATAAGCACTCAAAACTTCACTAAACTTATATGTTTTTTTCAAAATTAAGTCAAAATTTTCTGCAATATTGAACAAAACAAATTTTGTACATTAGTTTTGGTTCTGTCCTTTTCTCACAAAATCAAAGATCCTCTTTAAAATTTTCCACCAGAATGAAAACATTTAATAACGTAGGTCTTTCATAAAAGCAAACAATTGCAAAGCAGGGAATACATGTATATTACTACAGTATTGCAGATGAAACAAGACATTTTGCATTAATTCAGTCAAAATTTAGAAGATATATTAATGTAAATGAACAATTGTACAATAAAATAAGTTTATAAGTCAATATAACTGAACTTGTATTAATTATACTTTGTACAAATTTTACCTCACATTTTCTGTGAAGACTAGCTGATATGCTTATGAATTTGGAAGCTGGAATGCCAGATAAATTCTGTAAGAGAAAAATAATAATTCCTAAACACAAAACTAAGAAAGTAACAAAAATATTACAGAACTTACATTTTGGAATTATGTAACTTTAATTATATTAATTCAAATGTAAAGTAATTTATATGGAATAACTACCTGGTGTGTCAAAAGTGTTTCCATAATGGCTATTCTTGATCCCAAAAGTACATCCACACATTTTGTAGTAACCGCTATTTGAATAATATCACCTTGTTGTGCAATAGAAAATGATAATGGACTACCTTTACAAGTTAAATGAGCATCCTCATTAAAATCTTTAATATTACTTTTTTGTAATAAAAGCTGATATACATAATGTGTAAGATCACAGCCTAAAAAGGAAAAAAAAAAAAAGCAGAATGCTATTAGAATTTACAATTAATATGTACACCTTAATATATAAGCAAAGTAGATAATTGTAGGTAATAAAATAGAATGCAAAACTTCAGAATAATTTAATTTTCTGTTAAGTTGGCAACCATGTAGTTTAATTTTCTAGAGATCTAATGAGTCTTACAGAAGTTATCTAGAATGGAGAGTTAGTCATTTTTTAACTTGAAAATTATTGGAGAAATGAAAAGTTTACCTCAAAACATAAGCAAATTACATATTAAAAAAAAAACCAAACGAGATAGTCTGACCTTATTTTAAATAATGTATCTGATACTGCTACCAATAATATATGATAATTTATATCTTAACTATTCAATTCATGAGCAATTTTTCTCTAAGATTGTAATGTTGTTTTCCATGTATTATAGTTTTGATTAGAATTAAGGCTTTTATATTTATAGATAAATCCAGATTTTTGATTTTTAAAAAATGAATAAAGTTTTTCTATTCTTTTTTTTTTTAAATTATGATTATTTTAGATCACAAATAACTTTGGCTAAATAATTAGCAGCTATTTTCAGAAAATGTCATTGTCTTTGCTAATTCTTTGTTTGTAGTTTCTTTGCTATGAGAGCATTTTAACAAGAACATTGATCAGTTGGTTAGTATCAGGTGAGAAATAATACTGAAAGTTATCTTATTTGGTAAATTCTAAGAATAACGTTAAATCAGCAGTTAATGTCTAATACAGTTTAAAGTTAGGACATTTTGCATAACAGTCTAAAGTAATAATGCAGACTGAACTTTTGAAATAAATCTTGGCAGTGTTAGGATATGTTGTTGTATATTTGGAAAGGAAAACACAGTGTAGATACACAAGAGATATCCAGAAAGTGTATAAAGTGATCAAAGTCAATATAAGCATTATAGTCTTGTCTATGTTAAATGTGAGTGATTCATTTATCTTTAACAAATTGCCTTTATCTCTTAACAAATAACAGATATGATAGAAGAAATCAATTTGTGCTGATGTATCATTTTCTATATGTTTAATATGATCAAGATAATCAGATTGCCCACCATCACAAAATACATTTTGTTATTCATTTCTCAAATGCAGGTAATGTGAAACTAGCAGCCATTTATTAACAATTTTGTGCAATACACAAGGAATATGCCAGGGGTGATAGAATATTAACAGCAGCTCAAGTCATTTGGCTGTGAATTAATTTATCAATCTCCACATAACCAAGTCAAGTGATTCGTATAATTTCATGCATCTCAAAACTGTCACAAAGAGTGTTCCCAAGTGGTCAAAAATGGTGCCATTAAAATTCGCTTACATTTGAAAGTATCATAACTATCCTTATTCTACAATACATACTGTTACACATAAACTGGTGACTTATTATGACAAGTATCTGAACAATGATGCAATTAAGTAGAAAAATAGTTCAATATATGCAGAATTAATAAAATTTGAAAAAAAAAATACTATGTTTTTTAAAGCTTGTTAACAAGGAACTATTTTGATTATATATTATTCTCTATTATTTACACTATTTTATCTATTATCCATATGCAATTTTAAAAATATACAGTGCTAAATGCCGCATCTAAAATTTCTACAGGTATGGATGGTTCAGTGGTATTTTTATCTAAATCAACATTCAATCTATGTTAAAAGGGAATATATTAGAATGCCAAAACAAATTAATTGAATCCAGAATCGATCATCATCTCATCAGCAGCATTCAAGTTGCATCAAGCAAATTGAAAGCAAGTTCTGAAGTTCCCACTGTTGAAACTTAGCATTCTTAAATTTAGTGCACTTCTCTGTATTTTCACGTTGTCATTCAGAGGCAGAGAAAAAGTGTCTGTTCAAACCGGAAAATTCCAAATCCCGCTGGTTGTTTTATTCAACATCATTTGGGAATGGGAGTGGACTGATATTGGAGACAGCTTGACAAAAGATTCCATCTAATGCTCTGATGTCCACAACTTGTACTAGTCCATCCGGATCAGGAAAAATCTTCTCAATGTGAGCTAGTGTCTACTTCAGTCTTATTTCATCCTTAAGAAAAACTAGCTGGCCTAATTTGAGGTTGGATTTATTGCATTTTGCATGGGTCTGAAAATAGTTGAGATATTCCACACTTCAGTGGTTCCAGAAATTAGCTCTAAGGTTTTGAATTAAGGTTCACCTAGAAGACAAGGACGGAGAAGTTTCATTTGTTTCTGGTATCAACAAAGGTGAAGTTCCTATTAGGATATGACCTGGAATAAAAGGCTGAATGACCAACTGGGTCAGCAGAAATAGGTGATAGAAGTCGACAGTTTAAGCAAGTTTCTATTTGTATAATTAATGTATAAAGCACTTTGAAGTTTAAAACTGCTGTTTTTAGAACCTTTATCAGAATTCTCTTCATTGATTTTACATTATCCTCCCACACTCTGCCAAAATGTGGTGAAAAAGGAGGAATACAATTCCATGTTATGCCTTCTTTGGAACTAAAGCATTGAACAGAATCCAATCTACAATCTAAGGAGGTTATCAGCAATACTTTCGATCTTTTGAAGTTTGTAGCATTATCTCTTCAGACAAGGGAGAGTTTAGACCATCTAGCAATAATCTTCTAAGACATGCAAAAAAATGCTTCAGCAGACAAATCCAATACTGTTTATAAATGAAGAGCCTTTATCATAAAGCAAATAAATATTGTGATTTATGATTTTAAAGTAACTCTAGATCTTTTTTAAATTAGGTTTGGTAATAACTGGTCCTACAAAGTCTTTTCCTATTTTCCCAAATAGTATAATTGTTATAGCTCTAAGTAAATCTCCCATCATTTAGTTTGGTTTCTTGTCTAAAAGCAAGTCATGCATTTACTTATAAAATGTCTACCTCCATCTTGTCCGGAAGATATCCAGCACAATAATAAGAGAAAATGTTGTCTAATAAGAGAAAGTGTTGTCTGAACACCCAAATGATGAGATTTTTCTGTGATAATAATCCATAAGTAATTCAGTGAAATGATGTCTTTTTGATAAAAGAAGTTGATCTTTCTGAATTCCTGAAAGACTGGAAAGACTTAATCTCCCATTAACTCATAAAAGTTCATCTCTGTCAAGAAATACATTTAAAGACGAAACCTTACTATTAATTGTAACCGGTCGTTTCGACAGCAGGCACCTAATTTCAGGTTGAAACTCAGAATGCTGAACACATTTGATTAGCACCTTTGTTGCATCCTGCAATTCAGAAGCACTCAAAACAACTTTATTTTTTTCCATGGTGAATTGATTCTAATGTTACTCACAAACCTTAAACTTCACACTGTAATCCTAATCAGTTCACTAAATGATAAATTCTTTCTCAATGGAACTTTCACCTATGACTGTTGACTTTACCACAGCTCCCTCTTGAAGATTTTCTTTATCAAATTCCTTTACTTATTCTGAGAGTTAAGGCCACGAATCAATGTTCTGTAATAACCACTTAGGTCCAGGCCACCACATATCACATTTCATAGTTCAGCTAATACATTTCTTTCATTGATTTTGTCTTCATTCCTCTAGTCAGCATGTCAGCCAGATTTTCATCTCCAGGACAGTAATTCCAGGTTTCAGGTGATGTTTCCTCTTGTATTGTCATTCAATGGCGGATGAATAGCTTCCATTTATTCAAATTGTTCTTTATCCAATGTAACGCCACAGAAGAATCTGTCCAAAAGTGTGCATTTATTTGGAGCCTCATCTCTAGCGGTTCCTTGACATTTGAGGATAATCTTGAGCTAGTGAGTGCTCACATCAGCTCTAGTCTTGGAAGAGACAGCTTCTTCTGCAGAGCTCCTCTATTTTTTGGAATTACACAACTGCTTCCTTTCACTTCTTTTCAATGGAAGTTCTTATGACTGTTGACAGCTTTCATTTGAATAAAAACATAGATATGCAATGATTATTAAAAATTATATTTATGGAAATACAGTGAATAAAAGAATGCTTACATAAAATATAGAACAAAAACATGTATTTTGTGTCTCGCATATGTTCATGATACAACTGCATTAATAAAATCATTACAGAGTTTACAATGTTTTACTATATAAAATACTTAAATTTCTGAAAATATATGTGTTCATATTAATGGTTTAAATAAATTTATTTAAGCTTAAATTGTAATAAAATAACAAAATCACAGGTGACACACATCACTGAAACACATTCACAGAATATACACATGAGAATATAATAGTGTAGTCAAAAAGTACAAAGAAAGTGTGACAAAGGAATTACAGAATTAACACTCTCCAATTCTGTTGTCATTAGAGCTAATAAAAGTATGATGAATGACATAAGCAAGAAAAAGTCAACTTATTATTGAATGAAAAGCAAAACTTAAATTAAAAAAGGGGGGAGTGTTAACTAATGCAAATCTCTTAAATGTTTGCATGAGTGTCTTATTTTTTATGCTGAGCAGTTTTCTTAGCTTTTTAAATTTTGTTTTCAGAAGAGCTTTTATGAAGATATCTGCTAACTGATCTTCAGATTTCACATATTTTATAATGACAGACTTGTCTTCATATTTTTCAAAAATAAAATGGTAGTGAACATCAGTATGTTTTGTGCATTTGTGAAATACAGAGTTTTTTTTAATCTATTCAATAGCACTCTGATTATCAAAGAAGGTATATTTACATATTTTATTTTCACCCACATCTTGCAAAAGTTGGCTCAGCCACAATACTTCTTACATTGTAGTTCAAGCTGCAATATATTCAGCCTCAGTGGCAGAGGTAGAACTGATTGTTTTGCTGAATTTGAGAATATACTCTGAAGTTGATTTTCTTATATTCACATTGTTAGCAAAATCTGCATCTGAGAATCCAACAAGATGAGAAGTATCATTAGTCACTGGAGAATAATTGATGCCATAGTTTACTGTAGCTTTCAGGTTTTCAAAAACATGTTTTACAGCATTTCCGTACACTTAGCCAGT